TTTTTTTGTTTTATTTTGTATGTATAATATTTGTAAAGTTGTTGCAAATTACAATAATTAAATACATTAAAAATATTACTTTAAGTTATTTATTTTATCTGAAAACAAATTTTTGAAATGTTTGCTCATGTCTTTTATTATAATTCTTACATTCCTAAAGCAACAAGTCTCCCATAACTTGTGACCAGTGAAAGCGTAAATCTACTATTAGAACTCTGGAGTCCGTTATTCGAACGTTTGTGTTAGTAATTAATGGAAAAATCGTTTATAGAACGGAAACAATGTATGTTGATTGCCGGTATAATCTATAAAGATATTTTCACTTCCTTGTATAACATTCACTAGAGTTATTTTTTCCCTTTCGGCACGCGCACACGTGTCATTCAGGTATTCAATGATGAGTTTGAAATAATTAAAATCGATAATAAAATGTTTTTAATGTAATATTTAATTATTTTTATTGGCATGTAGCCTAATAATGTAAACTATTATTATTCTAAATGCGCCACTACATACCTATGCGATACTTTTAACCTTGATTGTATTTCAAAATAACAGTATGTTGATATTTTTCAGGACCAGTACGATAATTTATCGTTCCATACTCAAAAGGGTATCGATTTCCTTGAACGATATGGTCATTTCATCCGCGACAGATGCCTCATTGAAATGGAATACGCTGGCAAACTTAGGTATGTGTTAAATATATTTTTAACCATTTATAAAGTGTGAAGTACCTTACATTTGTCATAAAATGTGTTGTACAATGTTAAAATTAAAATTAGATAATAATATCTCCGCATAACTTTTTATTAAGTTTTAAAAATATCTCTAGGTATTTTAAGTTCAAATCCTTTTTTTAACTGTTTTAAGAATTATTTTCTAAAAAACTTACGAAAAGTATTGGCATTACCAAGGTCTAAATTAAATAAAAATAAATACATTTAAAAAAATAACTAATTATTTGTAACAATTATTTAAAAAAAATTATAACCATATTATGAAAAGTCATCCATAAGAATATTACTTTATCTATTATTATTGTATAAATTATAAATACTTAAAATTACAAAAATCTAATAAAATATCTTAAAGTGTTGGAGGAAGAGTGAATGTGATAAAAGCCTAGTTGTGATCACGATGTAACTTTTTATGTTAAAAAATACCACTTTTTAGAAATATGCTGTGTTTAAACTTCATGATATAAATAATAGGAATCAATAAAAAATAATGCGTAATAATTAATCTTTAAGATATGCTATTGTTCGAGATAAAACAAAAACAAAAACTTAAAGACATTTGTATGTTCATTATTTTTAAAGTATTGTTTTGTATTTAAATAATTGCTACAAAAGTCTTATATGACAACAATGTTGATATAATGTTTGTACTTACGTATACTATAAAAGAAGATGGTCGGTTGATTCATAGTTGAAACAATTTTTGATTTGTTTTGATTATTTAACCGTTTAAAATGTAATTACTATTTTAGATCATTGTACCAAAAGGGTCTTAAGTGGTTTACCACATAGCTTCCTCTAAATAAAAATTTTACCACGCACCACGTCTTATAATTGAATTAGAAAATGATTTATTATAGTATGAATAATGGTTCAAGAGTTATTGAATATAACATATTATAAATACTTATATTTTATAAATATACAAAAAATTAATTAACTGTTTTTGTTTTGAAAATATAGTTTACGTGATTTAATGTATAAAGATCTTATTTGATTGCTGATTATTATGATTTCCATTAAAATAGTAGCGTTATATTTTATTTATATTTAAGACTGAAATGTATACTATAATACTATAATGTATGTATAATACTATAATGTATAATAATTTATCGTTTATACATTTAGAAGTATATTATTCATTTTAATTGTCATCTTAATTTTTTAAAGTAATTAAAATTAACCTAAAACCTTAACAGAATCTAAATGTGATTTGTTAAGTTTATTTAATACATTTTTAGTCATTATTATATATATTTTCAAGAAAAAGTTAAACTATTTAATTTCGCATGTTGTAAATATCAATTTTTCAATTTATATTGCATTACGAGATAACAAACTTACGAGCGTTTAATGTAAAAATAGTTTGTATGACGTATAAAATAGAACCTCAGAAATGTACTTGTATATTATACTCATTCAAATGATTAATCGGATATATTGATTGGAATGACATGTTGAAAAGCAACCTAGAATCAAGTAGCAGACATAGATTCCTCGAATTAAGTTAAAACATTTTAAAATCTACATATATTATTACATATATATTACATATTTATTACATATATAATTTGTGAAACTAAATTTTTTTACCTTCATTAATACTTCAGTAAAAATGGAATTTTCTAAGTATTGACAAGTAGATAACCGACTCGTTGGTTTGATAATACTAGTAAATAATTATTTTTTTGTTATTCAAATGAAAATTACTGCTCGTTTATTTTGTGTGGTTATTCAAAATTCTTGATTTTTAAATCTAATACTAATTGGAGTATTACAAAAAAGTAAAAATAGTTTTGTGTTTAGGTTATCTTGTACTGTTATATACTGACAGATATATTTAAACTTTAATACTGTATATAATACCTAGTTGCATTCTGATACAGTAAATGTTATTTTATTGAATTAATGTTCTCTAAAACTACGCTAATGTATTATTATTATACTTAAGCTGTTTTTAAATATAACCACTGAGATTTTTTCGTGTCTTATATAATTTAGTGTGCCGTGATACAAATACATTTACTAGTTATTACAAGAACACGTGAAAATTGTTCTTTTAGTCACTACTACATAATTCCGACATGTTCAATTCCCAGATTTCTCGGTCATTGGGCATAACATTGTGTTAACGGCCCGTGTTTTATTGGTATTTGCTGTCATTGAACTTGTACCGATAAAAACTATTCACACATTACAAATTACAATTGACTATAGTGCAATATGAAAAACGAATAACTAAATATAATATATATGATGTTTTCAAATCATAATTGTTATATATATATATTTTGAAGTAAAATATTTTGTACAAATCGATCAACTGACTAATTTTATTGTTTTATTGTACAATTAACTCAAAAATAAGTAGGTTGTTTATCGTTTCTATTTTTTGTTTGGTTAAATTTTTTAAAATAACCATTAACAAATTAACAAATAAGCAAAAATAACTGTATCACATTCTATACAGTTTGAAAACAAAATATGTGATACCTACTTATATGATTTGTTCTTTTAACACCTACCTGGCAGTTTACGTCTCAAAGAAATAGGATAGCCATTGCTCATACTGACATTCCTAATAATTTTATACAGCTGATTATAGGTTATAGAAATCGTATTATCGGCATAAATATTAATGACTTGAAACCATCACTCTTTTGAATTATGTGTAACTAATCATATTTTATTTTAGTAGTTGGTAAAATAATATTTTACAAATAAAGTTTAATTATTTTATTAATCCTTTGTTTTTTTCAGGCGATTGGTTAAAAATTATCAGCCTAAAAAAAAAGACGAAGAGGAATACCAGTAAGTCACATTACCTATATCATCTTTTCAATAACTTAATCGTGAAAAATACATTTTTAAAATTTAGAATTGATTGGGTCATTTTAAATGAGGAAGTTAAAGGTGTTCTTTTTTCACTTATTTACCTTTTTATTTTTATGTTTTTATTGGTGAAATAGTAAATTAAAAATCTATACTTAAATATATGTACAATAAGTAAATTATTTTAATTTATAACGTCTATGCGTTACATGAGTACTTTTTTGAAATATTCATTAGTAGCACCTCTAAATTTGTTAATGTATAATTAATTGTTTATGTATATATTAATTTGGTTTTTTTTTTTACTGGTTTATCTTTTGGTCAATTTATTTTTAGTCTTCTGGTGGGATCTCCAGGAATCATTATAGAGGGCATTTGAGAAATAAGTGTAATTTTGCTATGAAATTTGTTGTAGAATTGATGAGCAATTTTTTTGGGAGTTTGAATAGTAAGTTCTTTATATGAGTGTTGATAAGTGACGTACCGTGGACATCCAGTAATTAATCGTAAACAAATTGACTGAAAGACTTCAAGTGGTCTTATGTTTGATGGTTCTACTTGTCCCCATATTTTTACGCCAAACGACCAAATGGAAGCTAGAATAGATTTATAGGTGAGTATTTTATTTTTGAGACTGAGTTTTGATTTTAAAATTGGGTGGAGGAGGTGAAGGCGTGTGTTACATTGTTTTATTTTCTTTTGTGTATGATTTTTCCATGTAAGTCTGGTCGATAATTATTCCCTGGTATTTTATTGAGTTTGAGTGTGGCAAATGGTTGTTATTTAGCTTAAGAGGTAGATATTCTTTACGGCTTAGAGTGAAATTCACTTGTACTGATTTAGTTTCGTTTAGCTTGATTTTCCATTGCTTAGTCCATGAGAAGATAAGATTATGGTGATTTTGTACTAATTGTGTTGCAACTTGAGGGTCAAATTTATTTACCTTTACTGTCTGAATAATCCTAATTATAATTTTTGTGTTTTAAATATACATTACCAACAAATTTGTACTATATTATAAATAGGGTCGTGTTTAAGGGGTGATTCGGGGAGGCAATAACCCTCCCTGAAATATTTAAGGGGACGGCAATATTTTTACGGGATTCTAAATAAAACCAAATCGATTTTTTCGTATTCTCAATGGAAATTATAAATTAATAAATAAAATTATTTAAAAATAAATGTTATACCAATATAAAATCATTTATATTATTTAATAGCCTATAACGTTTACATCTAATTAAGAGTATTTTATTTGGCATAGTATTTTATTGAGATATAGGTATTGATTTAATGTTGATTTGTATGGGAACATTCAGACCGACAGGTACTAAATTCATTAAGAATACTATCATTCGTCTTATAAAAGACAATTTTTTATAACTTAATTTTTGTTATTATAACTCAGTTATTATTTTGAATTTGATATTAATTACAAATATTGAGTAATAGTGTTCTGAAATAAGAGAAATAAATTGCGAGTGGCTTTTAATGAATAGTTAGAGACACTTATTTTCGGTTTTACATTTCAGAGAAGAGGGGCGGAAAAATTTCGTTGCTCCTTAGAGGAAAAATATTAAATACGCCCCTGGTTATGTAATATAATCATACCTAACCTAACCCTAATGTATGAAATCCAAATAATATTTTACTTATCAATTATTTCTGTATATGTTTTATACTCGGTTCTACGTTACAAAAAAAAAAAAA